GGAAAGAGTATTTGGGCCATATAGAGCCATTCAATCTGATGGACCAACTGTTTTAAAGACTTCCCCTCCATAAGCCCAGTTTTCTTACAGGGATGACAACCTCAGCATTGTCCGGGCTGAGGGAACAGTCTCGGGGGCCAGTTCAGTTCTGGGCTCATTGCAGGGTTCTGGATACCTCTCTTTCTGGGGGTTGTGTATCTGCTTTGTGTCAGTGGGAGGGCTAAAGGGAAGCTGAAGGAGCAGCCTGGGGTAGCAGGGCAGCCGGGCATTTGTGACATCACCAGGACCACCTTCATTTGAGTAGGATAAACGTTTCTGTACAAGGCAGTGGTCCAGCTTGAGTGGGGGTCTGAGATCCAGCCTGTGCCCGGCTCGCATGCGCCCTGGTGTGGGACTGTGTATGGGTGTCTGAGGGCTGCTGTAACAAACTACGACTAACTGGGTGTCTTAAAACAACAGAAACTTGGGAATTCCCTGGTGGTCCATTGGTCAGGACTCTGTGCTTTCACTGCCGAGGGCAGGGGTTCAATCCCTGGTCATGGAACTAAGATCCTGCAAGCTGCATAGCATGGCCAAAACAAACAAACAACTCCAGAAATGTATCCACTCATAGTTCTGGGGGCTAGAAGTCTGAAATTGAGATGTGGCTGGTCCTGGAGTCTCAGAGGGAGAATCTGCACCATGTCTCTCTCTTAGCTTCTGATGGTTGCCAGCAATCTTTGGCATCACTTGGTTTGTGGCAGCATAACTCCAATTTCTGCCTACATCTTCATGTGGCCTTCTCTCTGCATGTTTCTTCTCTTCTTACAAGGACACTGGTCATATTAGATTTAGAGTCCACCCTAATCTAGTATGACCTCATTTTAATTAATCACATCAACAATTACCCTATTTCCAAATAAGGTCACTTCTGAGGTTCCTGTTAAATATGAATTCTGGGGGAAACATTATTCTACCCCAACAACCTAGAGGAGAAGCCACCTTTTAAAAATTTGCCATTGGCTCTGTTTACTTACCAAGCTATAACATTTGCTTTTTTTCTTATTTGTACAAAGTTGGAGATCATTTGTGGAAGCAGTCAGCTATGCAAGATCCATTAGTTTGCAAGTTTCCTGAAGCAGAAACCCTATCTGATGCCTCTTTGGGAACTGCCATGGTTTGTATGGTAGATTAAGTTCTTAAAAGTGTTTGTTTCAAGAAAGACAAATACCATATGATATCACTTGTTTGTGGAATCTAAAAAAATGATACAAATGGACTTATTTACAAAACAGAAACAGACTCACAGACAGAGAAAACAATCTTATGGTTATCCAAGGGGAGGGATAAATTAGGAGTTTGGGATTAACAGATATACAATACTATCTATAAAATAGATAAACAACAAAGACCTACTGTACAGCACAGGAAACTATATTCAATATCTTATAATAACCTATAATGGAAAAGAATCTGAAAAAGAATAGATATATGTGTATGTATAGCTGAATTGCTTTGCTGCACACCTGAAACTAACACAACATTGTAAATCAACTACACCTCAATGGAAATTTAAAAAAATAAAAATAAATGTCTGCTGCAATGACAGTAAGGAAGCCTGAAAAGAAAACTTCTGATTCCAGCAATTGTAGCAAAACTTTTTTTTTCTTTTCAACACAGGTGAGTCGTCCTTAACTTGTTTCATCCCATGTTTTTTCTGCTTCTCTGGTGGTTTGGAAAAGTCTCTTGGATTCTCACGGGTTAAGTGAGGTAGGTTCTACCTCATCACTAAGTGATGCATTCCTTTTCAAAGTGGGCTCCATGGAATATTAACCCCGTTAAAAATTGTTCCAGGAGAAAAGGGTTTTGTGGTCAAATAAGACTTCTGGGAAATCGTGCATTTGCTATTCTCTTCCTGGAAATTAGGTATACACACTGGCTTTGTAGAGGTTCTGACAAGTCCTGCAGTAGAGAAACCGATTACACTTTGTTTAATCCAGTGTATCTCAAATTAACTTGACCACAGAGTCTCCCCCACCCCTTTTTTGGGGTGTAATGATACCTATTACAATCCACAGAACTAGTCCAGTGGTTTGAGTACCACTGGAGAGAGTGGTCAAGAATATAAATGTTGCAATCAGGCTCAAGTTCAAAACTTAGATTTGCTGACTTCGGACAAGTAAATGAACCTCTCTGAGCCTGAGTTCCTCATCTGTAAGATGGCATTATAACGCTTCTTGCTTCGTAGGATTAACTGAAATAATGTAGATAGAGTGTTTAGCACCCAGGCCTGGGATATAGTAACAACTGAATACAGTTAAGTATCTATTATTATATTATTATTAAACATTTTTTATTATTTACAGCCCTATGACTTCTTATATTATTCTTAGAGATCATTTGGGGGGAATGACAATCTTGATTCTAGCAAAGAAGATCAAAACTGTTGACTTTTGTAAAAATCAGGGGCTTTTCCTCAGCTTCTCAGAACTCTGGGGATTGATATTCACCGACTCCAGTCCTTCTGAAGCCGGGGAACTCTGCCAATCAGTTGTGACTTCTTAGGCTGGTCATAAGCCAGTTATGGTCACCTGAAAGAAAATTAAGCCCCAAGTGGCAAATGAAGATCGACATTTCAAAAGGCATTTCCTGGTTACTGGATTACCTCTGGGAGTGTGAGGCTGGGGCGGGAGGGAGATGTGAGAAACAGGTCAGGGGAAATGACTTGAACATTCCTGGGGTCTAGAAGCACCAACCTGTCCTTTTCGGACGCATGTACCACAGAAGATATCACAGAGTCCACTGATGACTTGGCTGAGGCAAAGGACAGCTTCTACCACGCCGATCCCCAGCAGGATGGAGAACAAGACCACGTTCCAGAGGACGATGTGCTCAGGCTCTTGGCAGTTAGCCCAGGTGGGTTGGTTGAGTAAGTAGCTGTTCCTGCCAGGACAGGGGAGACAATTAGCCTGGCTTTGAGAGCTAGGAAAGGGAGAGAGCTGCCATTTACAAGCATGTGAGAGGCACTAGTCTATTACCTCGCTCTCATCTTCATAAGGATAGTACATTCATGACTGCCCATTGGTCGAGGGTCGAACACACCATCTTCCCCTGTAACAGCACAGCATCTGAGCAAGGCATTGTGGGCACCGACATAGCCACACAAGGGAGCACCGGAAGAAGCGGGAAATTGTGTGGTGCAAGACTTGAACTGCTCTAAAGATCTCAGGGGCAGTAAGGATTGGTTAAGAGCTTGGGCTGTGCAGTCCCACAGACCCAGATCCTAACTCCACATTCTTCGCTAGAAAGTTCTTGATAAGCTTTGTCAGGGAGGGATAAAATGTCCCCCTCTACATGTCTTGAGTTCTTGTGGCTGGACTAATAATAAAATTGACACAACACAGATCAAGAGGAGAAAGAGAAACAAAATTTAATGCATGCCCCGGGAGTTCTCGTAGAAATGAGACTTAAAGTAGTGGCCAAAGGAGGCAGCTTGTTTTTTGCCCACACCCTGCGCAGCTTGTGGGACTCTAGCTCCCCAGCCAGGGATTGAACCCGGGCCCTCAACGGTGAGAGCGCAGAGTCCTAACCCCTGGACCACCAGGGAATTCCCCAAAGGGGGCAGCTTTTACACTCTTCAGACAAAGAAACAATACATTTGTGAGGAATCGACAGGACAAAGAAACTTAGGTTTGGGTGCTTAATTAGTAAAGAATCTAAACAGTTCGAGCTTGGTAGTAAATTAAGGAAGTAACAAGGCCTGTTCATATAGACTCCTTGGCCCTGAACTCTCTATCTCTGGCAATAAGGGTGTCCTTTTAGCGCCCGATGTAGGGAGTGCACCTTTCACATGAGAGAGTTATTTCCTGCTTTCAGGGAGACAAGAGAGGAGGGTCAGAATGGGCTTCTTGCATCATCTCTTTCTTAAGTAACTTTCACTCAAAATAATCAATAGACCATTGATTGATATATGTGTCAATATACAGCCTTCCCTGGCCCCAATAGTTTCCTAAGTGTTTCTGTATATCAGCTTCCTTATATGTAAAATGGGGCGAAAAAATAACATCAGTACCATCGAGTGGGTTGGGAGGATTAGATATTAGCACAGTGTCTGCCATGCAGTAGGCACTGTAGGCAATATATTTATAATTATTATCATAAAATGAGGAGGTCTAGAGGTTTAGAGTAGCTGGGCAGGGTTTCGTGGGGGAAGGATGGAGTCACCTGGCCTTGAAGGAGGCAGCAGCCAGTGCATTATAAGAGGAAACAGCAGGCAAGCAAAAACTCTAAGGAATATTTGGAATCAGAGGGTTCTAGCTGGACAAAGAGAAAATGGACCAGGTTTTCAGGCCCTGTTTCATAGAGTTATATACTATTTGGTATCTCTGCCTTTAAATCTCCACCTTCACCCATATCCATACTCATCTATTGAGTTCTCAATGAGATTGCAAGTTCCTTAAATGTAAAGATTTCTTGGCCTTAATGAGTACTTTTACATTTTACAAAGCCCCTCCGGCTCATCTACAGCGAAAGGATTGAAGGGGAAAATGGGGCTGGGATGCTTGCTGGAGGTCTGGTGTAGACACGGAAGCAAAGGGTGTTGCAGATTTGGAACGGGGTGATGACAGACTAGGTGAAGAGCAGCGGCCAGATTCAAGGTGCACTGGTGAGTTAGAACTCACAGGATTTGGTGGTGGATTGAACTTGGGGTGCAGAAGGGAGAATAATCAGTGACTCACAGGTTTGGGGTGCCATCTAACGGGCTGGGGATGACAGAGAGGAAATTGGCAAGGGAACATCAAGGGTTTGGACATATAAATATTGAAATGATCTGAAATTCACAAGAGGAAATTTCAAAGAGGTAATTTGGTATCTGAGTCAGGAATTCAGAAGAAAGATCTGGGCTAGAGATAGACATTTGGGGATTATTTATATGGGTAGATGGAGGGTTCTGAAAGCCATGGGGATGGATGAGCTCTAGCAGGGAGAGAACGTGAAATGAGAAGAGAAGCAATGTCTTTCTCAATCATTGGTGCTGGGTTTCTTTCCTTATTCCTTTAGGAAAATCAGTGAGCATCACAGGGCCTGCCATTTAAGGATATCTGTGCAACCCTGCAGCGTAAACCCTGACAGTTGGTTTTTCTTTTTGTAATGCAAGTGCCTGATTTAAGCTTTGATTGTGAGGCAACGGCTTCAAAGAGGGCTATCTCAGATAAACACAGTGCCAGCTTCACACCTAGGTAAAAGCCTGACTGAGGCTCCTTTGTTTTAGTGATCTTGGTTGATTTCAATATCCTGTGCTTTAAATCCCTGCTTTTATGTTGTAAGTTCATCAGTAAAGAGTGAGCCTGCGAAACCCTAGACCCCCAGCCTCAACAATAAAAGCAGCAGAACCCCAGGCCCACGCACTTGCGCTCCCTACCCCGCCACCTCCCCC